ATCATCTGGACTTTGCAGACATTGACTGCTCTTGCAAAAATAAAGAAGCTGCAAGGCTGCAAGCATCATCTGCCCTTTCCCCACTTGTCCCTCCTCGCAGAGACGAGGTGTCCTGAGCCACAAGAACCTTCCTGTGCAGCAAACAGGGCTCACCTGAGAGGCACCCCATTTAGCACAGAGGGCTCAGCAGTCTTCCAGAGAAAGAAAATATATCCAGGTCTCCGTACACTTTTTTTTTTTTAAATTTAGCATAAGCAGTTTCAAAGGCTGCTTTTCTTCTGCACAGCTGCCTCCACCTGGAGGAAGGGCCTGGGAGCCAGGTATTTCAACAGCTTTTAACAAATCTTCCCATTCATGTCTGACCTTACAAAATGAAAATAACAAGGTCACAGTCGCATCCTAGTTTTATTACAACTGACCTGCAGGCAAAAGGATAGAACTATTACATAAACACTCTGATCCATGTATAATATCTTAAATAGAGGAAGAAGGAAGTCAAACCAGGATACCGGATAAAATATTCTGAAGCTCTTTGAAGCAGTTATGTTCCTGAGCTCCATTTTACAGACAATAAGGCAACATCCCTGCACATCAGCTTTTTGATAATTTTTATACATTTTTCTATGGTACAAGAAAAAAAAAAAACAGTTCACAATGTACAGTTCTTACACTATTTTCACAGCTTCTGAACACTATACACCTTTTTTTTTCTTTTTTAATAAAGATACATTGTAATAAATGGTGCACCCTTAATAGTTTATAATGATCTATGCTTAATATGCTAAACCTGTCCTTCTGTACAGCCACACATGCCACAGCACCTCAACCCTGACTTTGTCACTGGCAGCTCAAAGCTTTGCGTTTCCTTTTCCCATCCGTCGAAAGCAAACTGGTCGCGCTGCTGAAGACGAGCTCCGGACGGGGTCAGCAGCGGAGAACGGACCCCAGCCGTGCCAAAAGTGCAGAGCAAGGCAGTTGCTTGCATTGGAGGGAGACTGATTTTTAGGCAGATCCATCTCAGTGTTGGACCTCTGAAAGATTTTTGGGCTCAGCGTCACTGGGGAGATGTGAATCAGACTTCAATTTCTGAAAGGTGGGGGCAGAGGCAGAGCATCTCTGCATGCGTCTATCTTTACTGGATCTGTGTCTCTTTAGTTCCCCCAGCCAGCACCCCGTGAGACCCGGTGTGCCCGTTACGGGTGGCTGAAGGCTGGTGAGATTAATCACAGCTGCGGGGATTTGCCAAGCCTGAGAAAAGCTGAGTTTTCTGAGACTATGGAGCTGGGGGGAGAATTACCGCTTTAGATACACTACATATCTTGTTCAACTGATCCTTCCACATGATTAATCAGAGCTTTCGGGAATGACTAGTTACTTCAGAAAGCTCTGCCTTGTCCGTTTCGGAAAGACTTTAGTGACCGCCTCGCCCAATGAGCTGCCCCGGAGGAACATAATGCAGGAAGGGCAGGAGGACTGCATCTCCCCGCCCGGCCGGGCACGCTGCGCCCCAAGGGATCACATCGGCGTCAGCCTCGGTGCCAGAAGGACCAGCTCTGACAGCCGAGTGGGAGATGAGCAGTGCTGCAAGCCTTACACAAGGGTGTCACCTCTGCGGCCGGAGAAACACCAGATGTCCACACAAGCACAGCCTCGGCTCTCTCTTTTCCCAACGGAGCAGCTGGGGCAGGGACGTGCTGGTCTCCAGTGCTCTTGCATCAGCCCAGTTTGCGCTTGGTAGCATTGCTTTGATGTGGGAAGCCCCTTCCTTAGGAATCCTGCCAGAACCGCTGAGTTTTCACTCCCACTGTGTCTCTAGCCCTCTGCGTCCTGGGTCTGGTTTTGCCACAGAGCTTTGACAGTAGGTTGCTCTAACATTGATGAAGTCCTACCCAGTGCCTAAAACTAGACAACTCAAAATGGAAATTGGAGACCCCGAGGCCTCCATTTCATCCCTAGTATGCTACTAAATGCCTGAAAACTGCAATGTTTTGGAAAAAAAAATGTTTTCAGGAATTAATCTTTGAAAAATATGCCAATTTAAAAAAAAAGACTGATGTGCTTTTTTGCTCAACAATGGGCCAGAAGATGACAGCTTGCCTGGCCTTACTGGGTCAGCTAAAAGCCCACAAGGCGTTAGATGCTCCATCATCTCCACCTCATCTCTATCTGCACCAAACAATCTCAGCGAGGTTCGTAACAAGAGTGCAGTAACAAGAGCTATGGAGGGTCACAAAAGAGGTTAAATATGCCCAGAAGGTGGTGAAGAAGGTCTCCAGCAAGCTAAGCAGAGCGTGGCACTTGCAGCAGCGGGGCGGGCACAGAGCCCCCCTGCAGTGGGGGACATCCCCGCCATCCTGCTTGCAGTGGCGAGAAGGAAGCGCTGAAGTTTGGTCTCGTTAGGGCCACTGGGCTGGGCGGTGACAGCGCTGCCGGGCTGGTCTCGGGGTCAGTGAAGAGGCACTAGCATCAGGACTGGGGACAGTGAAGAACATGAGAAACATTGGCTAGAAATCACAGACATTCGTTTGTGGCTCATTAAAAAAGCTGCAGACTTTATGAACGGCACTTCTCGAAGTCAAAGCAAAGCCAGCTGGTGGTGAGCACTGTGCAGCTATAAATCAGGTCACAAGCAGGTTAAATTCAATCGAGTAGTTTAATAATTCTTCAGGTCAAAGGTCTTATCTTACCAGGTAACAATTTACAGGACACCTAGTTAAGAGTGAAGAGTGGCTGGCTTGGTAAAAGGAGAAAGAATACATTATGTCCCATCTCTGAATAGTTTAATGTTAGCCTCTTTCAACGCAACATATTTTTGGTAAAGACATATTCGCTATATTTAACATGATCTCTCTTTAACAGGAAGTTCAGCTGAGCACACTGTCCCCAGAAAGTACACTGCGACTGTAAAGCAACAGAATTTCATAGCAGTAAATCTATTGCACTTTGTGAAGAATAAAATTCTCCTTTGCCTTTCTAGCTCCAGAAGGCAAAGCATCTCGTTGGTTAAGCAAGTTCTTCTCCCTCCAGGCAAAGTCTCTTAATGTTCAGACAGACAACGCCTAACTTTTGTTTGTTTGCTTTTTATTATTACTTGAAACAACAATTGGAAGAGTTTGAGAGAAAAATCTTTCCAGTAGCTGCTGAGAAGTCTCCAAGTTTTGAGTCTAGAAATGAATTTTAGGTGCTATCCAATCACGGTCAACAAATAAATGTACTTATTTCCACATTTCATGAATATGTCCACAAAAGAGCAAGATGAGGTCTCTCTTTGACCAACACTAACACTGTGTGATCAGGTATTACAGGGATGCACTTTATATGTGACAACAGTATACAGACAGGATGGAAATAACACCAATATTATTGCACATGGTGTCTGGGCGAGCATTAAAAACACTGCAATATGTGATGAAAATTCTTTACAGCTTGTTTTCTCTCAGCCCTTTTTCTAGAGTTTGATGTAGCAGCAATATCAATCGACGTACATTGGAGAGCTGGGAGTTGCTGGCATTTGATCCAGGATTTTACAAACATAGCATGCAACATCCACTGTGCGTTCCTCATACATCAGGATGAAGGGATGTTTCTGGAATCAGATAAAAAACCAACAAGGTTACGTTCGCCCTTCTGACACATGCTGGCTACCCCACATAAAAGCTTAACGTATGGATTTGCCTGATGCATGAACACAGGGCTTGGCAGTGGTTGTAGGGCAACAGGACATAGCCTTGTCCATGACTTTTACATACAGGGAATCCATATCTTAAATGTGCAGTATGGAGATGGGACAGGACTCCAGGAGTGTCAGGAACTGCTGGGCAGGAGGCAGCAAGGGTGCAGTATTAGCAGCACCTGGCTCCTTTGTAGCATGGACACGTACTGAAATACTTTCAAGAGAGGTTTCACCATCAGCCTTGATCTGCCTGTCAGCAGTGGGGAGACAGGAATGACAGGGAGACATGGCTTGTGGAGGTCAAACAGGTGATCAGGACCCAAACCCAGTTCTCCTGAACCCTGACGCTCTGCTCTGCCCAGGAGGCCGTACCGGCTGGACCCAACTCAGAGCAGCTGGAAAGTAACGACATGGTGACACTCTGGGCCAGGACACCAGGCAAACTCCTTTCGTATCACACCACCACCATCAGGGAGCCAGGACGTGGTTTCACACATCCTCTGAAGAGATGGCTCCAGAGCTCCTTGAAGGTGCATGGTTGCCAAGTGTGACTTAGCCAACCCAAAAGCATTGCTGTATTCCCTCCTTTAGGACCTCCCACCACAGACAGGGTCTGCTGGTGTCTTACTCCAGAGTCACGCTCTTTCAGGTCCCACTTTTGCCCACGCATTCCCAACCTTGTTGTGTGGCCTGTGCGTTGGGAGGCATTTACACGTGACAGTGCTGGCCAGCAATTCAACAGGGCTCCTGCACAGTAACCAGAACCTCAAGCAAAGGCAGTATTTACATGGCACACACAGTATGCTTCTGCCTGAGCCTGCCCACTTCAGGGATCACCGATCCGCTGCAACAGGGCATTTCCCCCCATGCTGATCTCCCGTGTTTATGTACAGACACTAATGGTCTCGGCCATCGCCATGACCACAGGCCAGAGACACTGGCATGGAGCTGGTGCTCTTCCTCAGGCTGAACATCCTGCCTTGACGGCCCAAGAAGACAAGGAGCGACCTCAGACGTGCAACCCAGCCCTGCTGTGTGACCGGCAGAGCACGGGCAGCCACGCTTTGCACTCACCAGAAGCTCTTTATACTTTGGCCTTTTGGATTCGTCCTTTGTAAGGCTAAAGAAAGCAGAAAGAGAATTAGGAAAAGGTGGGATTGAGGAAATTGTTAGAGACATCAAATGCAAATTTTACAGGACACGATGTTGAATTCACTGCTGTCGTGGTGGGACTCACCGCCTTTTGTTTTCTGGAAAAAACATCCTTGTGCTGTTGAGTGACCACAGGGACTCCCTCCCTCCCTCCCCATACGGGTGAACAGCGAGTGTGGCCACCAACAAATCCTGCTGGGGACGGAGCCCGAGGGAGCTGCAAACGGAATGCCATCTCAACTGCCGCTGCCTCCATTTGGAAATGGGTTTGACTGCAGCATAACCTCAAGTTTTGGGCAGCAGCAACCAGCCTGTCCTCCATCCATCGGGCGGCAGGGCTCAGAGGCAGAGGAGAGCCAGCGCCGCCTGCCAGGGGACACAGGCACCACACCATCGTCTTGACATGTGCGGGCAGGGCCTGGGGCTGTAGCAGACAGCAGACAGCCAAACCGCTCTGCAGGGCCAGGGTCAGGTCTGGGCGCCAGGGCCCTCCTGGCTCATCCCCGGCACTGGTGGCACATCCAGCGCTGAGCAGGCCACAGATGCCGGGAAGGAACATTAGAGGTGACATGGCTGCCCACAGGTTGCTGGAGGACACGGGGGCCGGCTGGAAAGTGTCCCCTCCTGCTGAGCTCCTCTGGCACCTTCACCACCGGCCGGCCGCTGGGCCCCTGTGCAGCGCAGGGGGCGGCAGGTGGCAGCAAAGGCCACCAAAGCCCCTGCAGCAGGGGGGATATGGCGGGGGACAGGAGAGGTGATGGGGACCAGAGGCAGAGGGGCTGCAGGACGGGGCTCGGCGATGGTCGGCACCAGCAGCCCCTGCCCTGGGAGCCAGAGCTGTACCACTGGGAAGAAAAAGGGCAGAGGTAGCATCTTTCCCAAATGAGAGGAGTCAAGCCTAATTCCCAACAGCTGCACTTCCATCCCCACAGGCTCTGGCTGGACCTTTCTCAAGCTCCAGCACCATTACAGTGTGGCCTCAAATTATTCAGAGAAGCAGAGGGTAATTAATGCTGCATGCCAGGTGCTACTCTGTCCTGTGACCTGCCTACAGAGCTGCGCAGGGCAGAGAGGACAGGAAATCCCGCAGCTGCTGCACAAACATCCTCGCTTCAGGCTTTTGCTACCCAACAGCAATTCATTTTCCGACCTCAGCGAGTCTAGGGGTTCGAATATTCTCCTCACAATGCCTTTAAGGCAACTAGTCAGAACTTCAGCTCACAGAGCGAGTTTTGCTCTGAAATCTCCATACATGTTTTCATAAAGCAGTCCTAGAAATCTTTCATTTCTTTTCCAGCTCGACGTGAAGCTGCGTGTGTGGAGTGGCCATTTGCAGCACCAGGCGCCGTACAGCTCCTTTGCAGGAACATCTGATCTCCTCCTCAGGCACGCCAGACCTCAGGAGCTCACGGCTCTGCCTGCGAGCACGGCTAGCTCTGCAGCTGCCAGCACGAGGCTCCCAAAAGCCAGACACAGAGCTTGGATACTTTGCAAACTCTGGAGCAGAAAGCTGAATAACTGTAAGCAGTTCCAGGAGGAGTGTGACTTCAGATAAACATCTAACACAGGGAGGTGGGCTGAAGGGGAAAAATGTTCCACCCAGGCACTCACAGCGCTGTTGGGATCCAAAGCAAATTAAAAAAAAAAGAAATCCTCAAAACTTTTTAACATTATTGAAAATACCCTTTCCTCACTGACCTATCATGGTGAGCAGGCAGCAACACTGCAGGACTCTCAACATTTTTCCTGACTCTTGAATGCACAAAAATAGAAGATTATTAGATTCATATTTGTAGGGTAATGCCCAGGAGATTTAAGCCATCCTTTTGGCACAGCCTTTCAGAGACTCACCTGCCTGCTTAGTAACACCAAAGATTACTGTTTGCACTTAACTAAAGGTTATTAAGAGAAATATTTATTGAAGTGTTGCTATGAAGACATCATAAATATTCGAGGAAGAAGCCAGATTATTTACAAAACCAGATTAAACAAAAACCAGAATTAGACTGAAAACCGCCCCGTGCTCTATGCTTTGTGGCTGTTCCAGAGCAGCAGGCCCTGGGTGGGGTAAATGGGCTGGAAATACAAATTGACCCAATCAGACCCATGGGCCAAAGATGCTGCTGTTTAGCAGAGATGCCACACAGGCTCCTCTGTTGGGTGATCCGAAGCCAAACTCACCAGTGCGTACAGGGCAGGAGAACAAGCTTCTGGCTTTGCAAATTATAGAATGATATGGCATCACTATGGAGAACTATGTGGGAAACAAACTATTGTACTGTACATGGGGAAAGCAACTCTGACTTTCTAACCAAATACTACACTGTTTTTGACTGAAAAATGGAAACTTCTTTTGAGAAGCAAACCGTTTTGATGCTATATTTTCTGCAGCCCAAAGAAAATAACCAGGCCTTCCTTACAGCCAGCTGGAAAGTGGAACCTTGCCTCCATAAAAATTCATAATTCTGAAAGAGAGCAATATCCAAACCCCAAAAACATCTCCAGCAAATGGAAAACCCTGAAACAACACCTCTTGAAAGTTAAAATTGTCTAGAGCCGAGTCTTCCTGTGTAACAGAGCTCTGAGATGGACATCCCTGTGCTGGGGATGTCCATCACCTGGGTCTGCCCACGGCAGAAGGTCCCAGAAGACAAACACAGGTCACACTGATGGATCTCCTGCATGATTCAGTATTAGGTTAACGAAATTATGTTGACCACCTTTCACATTTTGATAGAAAAATACTTCATCAGAAAATTCACAATCAGCCCTTAACCTAAGCAGGACCACACACACGTGGCAGGTAGATGGACTGCCCCAAGCCCCTCCTGTGCAAACACTGCACACTCTCCATCCGTAGCTGACTGCGCTGCAGAGGCCCTGCCCTACAGAAAACCATCTCTAGTCTTGATCTTGACATATGATTGACACAAGACATGAAGCCAACAACCAAGCAAGCCACACGCTACACATCCTGACAGTCACTGTGCTGAGAAGAACTGGGTGGGAAGGCTCCTGGCCTTGCCAAGCAAAAGCCAGGACCAGTACAGATCCTCTGTCCACCCACGAGACAATACTGCCAGGTGTCTCAGGCTTCTGCCTGCAGAAGAAAGGGCAAACAGCAGGTCCGTCCCAAGGCTGTGTCATACCAAGGAACAGGATGCACAGGCCAGGCCCTTACCTGGTCACACAAACCTCCTGCCATGGGTCTTATCATGCCTCTCCTGACCACAGACTCTCAAGAGGTTTTCTCCTCATCCCTTCCCTGAAGAGCAGTTTCCAAAGGTCTGCCCTTCAGCCCCCACCCAGACAAGTCTCCCATCACCTCCAAACCAGTGAAATGCGAAAGCCCCTCACCCTCACATTGGCGCAGGAATGTGAAACTAAGCTACAAAGTGCTTGGCATGTGACCCTTGTCAAAATACCTAGCAATGACAAAATAAGCCAACTCCAAGTGCTTTCAGTAGGAAACACTTACCACAAGTTGACGAAGTTGATGAAACTTGGGGAAAACTCCCTTTCCTCTGAGTTACTCAGCTGCGGTGGGTCTCCTTTTACTACTTGTGTCAACTGGTCAAACACACTGTTCCACTTGGGGTAGGGGAATCGCCCTGTGGCCAGCTCATACTGCAGAGAGACAGCAACAGCACCAGGCAGGTTACACAAGATAAGTTCAATCAGGGTAATGTCTGCAAGGATACTGAACCCCCCAAAAGGAAGACTAAGATGAGATTCTTCATCCCATTCCCTATACGAAGCTCAGCTGAGGGAAGAGGAGGGAAAGTTTTACCCAATAGTAAGTTCTGCTGCCTACGTTAGGAGCACCTCCAGATTTAACCTGGCTATGCCATGCTTTCATATTGACAATGTCTTCTCCTCCACTGACTATAAAATGAACCAATGCTCTTACTAAAGTGTTTAAAAGTAGGAGAGTAAAATCCTCCAGTCCCTTCCCAAGCATCCTAACAACCACTAGAGAAAATGGATAATAAGAATCACACAATCATAGAATATCTCAAGTTGGAAGGGACCCATAACGATCATCGAGTCCAACTCCCTGCTCCTCGCAAGACAATGAAAATGAGCATTTTAAAACACCAGTGGGGAAGACAGAAGCTACTGGTTCATACTTATTGCTTCTGCTTTCTCTTCTACTTCACCACCTTGAGAAGGGAAGATCTTTTCAATTTATCAATGTGCGCACCCAGCAGTGCTGTGGTTAAGCCAGAGAGGAATCAGCAACCAGGATCCAGGATTAACTGAAGTCTTCTGCACAGCTGAAGTACACCAGACGCCAGGGCTGTGAGAGGCTTATTTACACAGGCTGGATGCTCCACCACACTCACTACCCCTTCTCATCTGAGATTTTGAAGACAAAATTGATTTATGATCTAACACCTCTTCCCTGCTCACATCTCTTTCTCTGCAAAACATAGCTGCAGCTAAATGTATTCTCAGGGGTTCAGAAGAGCCATCTGCCTTGAAGGGGTTTACATTGTTTCTGAGCCAGGAGGTCCTCACTTCAATCACAATATGCAAATGCTTCACAGCAGTGGAGCTGGGCTTTGCTTCAAGCACGTGTTGACACCAACCAACTCCATCACACTGCAAAGCATGCCAAGTCTACCCACTAGGAAAGTACCGCGCAGCAGAGGGTTTAAACCCCACTTACTTACCAATGTAATTCCCAAGCTCCAGACATCTGAGCGGACATCATAGCCTTGCCTGGATGCACTAGGATCTATCCTTTCAGGCTGAAACAGGAAGAAGGACCAGTCAAATGTTGTGCCATGCAGGAAGGAATGAGAAGCATCTGCAAACTTAGGAAAAACTCTACATTCATCCCCCTAGGCAGAGCCTGGCACAGCTCTAGAGGCAAACTTGTTGCTAGGGCAGATGTACAACCCCAGAAGAGAAACATCTTAAGGAATTAAATACTGATTTTATGGCGGTATAGCGTAAAAGGTGATCTGAAATGGCAATTCAGCACAGTCCAATCTTTTTTTTTTTCCTTTTGTACAAGCAGCTTAAATAATTGTCACTGTCCATTTATTTAGTTTTGTTTAACTTTGGGATCTCCTCAGCACGAAGCTTTGCTTTCTCTGTTTTTACAGCAAAGTTGTCCCTAGGGAATCACAAGAACTGGAATAAACATCTTCTCATCCACCAGCCTGGGTAACTGAGGTTTAACAGCATCTATCAAAACTCTTCATCCCAACTGTCTGCTGGTTGCTAAACCTCAGGAGGTATTAAAACCAATGCATTTTAAGAACAGTTGTTCTTCACAATGTTTTGGGCATCCCTTGAAGGCAACTATGATGTTATAAGGTCTTCAGACATCCAAAAGGTTTTCCATAGAAAACAGTATCGAGCCAGACATGGGTGATTTGCACCTAAGAGTGAGTCGTCCAGAGGGGTGAACGAGCACAAAACATCTTTATGCTTTGCATGTCATCTTTATGAGAAACCTCAATTCTGCCTTCTTTTGTTAAAAATGTAGTAATTAAAATGTCAAAAGAAAAAGGGTCTCATTCAGTTTTGATTACAACAATAATAAAGAGACCTGAATTGCAACAAAATACTAAATTATCAGGTAGAGGAAATACTATGAAAGCCCTGGTTGCTTTGTAAGCTACATTTTAATACAATTTCATGGTAGATGCCAGCTGAAGAGTGCCATGCAATGAACGAAGACCCTTAGTGCAACATCAACCCTCCACTGGACCACCGCATGAGAAGACTACCACGTCCCCACAACACCTCCCAGCCCCCAAACCCTCATGGCATTTCTGGTTGCTCTGCCATGCTGTCAGCTCTCCTCTCTACAGCCCACCACTTACACACAGCTGCCCCAGCTGTGACTGCTTCCAGACCTCTCCCACTCCCTCAGTCACCAGGATCTCGTCCAGCAAAGAAACTTGCCCAGGCCACCAGCCATACATAGCCACATAGAGAAGGAAGAAGAAGTTTCCACCAAGCTTCAGTGGTTCTACACGTGGCTTCTCCTATAACCTTCTTGCGTCCACTACTCCTCAGTACATGGTATATCGCCTTCCCAGTGCCACTGATAATGTTTTATCATCCTTACTTCCAGTTACAGTATCTGCTTTGAAACAGGCTGGCTTCAAACACCACACCCTGCACGCATTGCCTTTCCCACCCTCCTAGGTCTGCCCTTTGCTTTGCTTTCTTATCCTTCGGTTATGGTTTCCATTCATCTTAAGCTCATGTATTAGTTACTCCTCTCATGACTTGGATGGACTTTTCAATAATTCTGGTGGGAGGGCATGCAAATAATAAAATTACTAAAATCCAACTTTCTTAAACCTACCATCAGCCCTTCACGTGCTCATCTTGTAGCTCAGTCAAAAGCAATCACATTTATTTTGCAGATAAACCTGTGCTTCTAACTGCTCACAACCCAGCATCCTGCCTTTGCTGGATGAGTTCGGTCTTTCCATATTGGGTATACCATATCAACAGACTACCAAATCAGCTGATAAGGAATTAATAACTAATATAAGCATCCATTTCTTTAAATACGGGGAACAGAAATGTAATGACAATTTCTCCACAATTTTGTAGCTGAGACAGTGGGAAAAGTATGTGAAAACAGCAAAAGGGCTGAGGATCTGAATGGAAAATGCGTATTCCCAATCCCTGCTACTTGCTTATTTGAGGGGAGAGTGGTTTGATAAGCAGCGAACATTCAGGATGTGTATGCTCTTGGATGTTTCAAGAGGTTACTGGACATTTCAGTAAGAAGCAAAACATCTCAAGGAGAAGCCCATGAATGAGCATTGGCTTACACTCAGGCTCAGGAAGGACAAGAGGAGCTCAGATTTATAAATCAAAGTAACACATGGAATAACATCACCTAACAGCTACAAAAAAGTCAGAATGCTCTTAGTGATATATTTCTGTGAACAGTCTAAAATATTCATGAGAAAGCAAATGGAAAATGCCAGCAGTAGGAAGGTGGATAGAAGAACATAGCATCAACAACAGACCAGCATTAGATGTGGCGTGGTAGGCACCTCCTCTGTCCCCTCGTACAGAAGGTTACAGGCTGAAAAGAAGTTTCCAGGGACTCTCATTAATCACGCTCATGAGTGATGCTGCGTCTGCCCTGCCCTGTCTCAACACCACCATGATGGACCTGTCCCTCCCCAACAGCCTTGTTTGCCTACAGCCCCCACACAGCCCCTCCAGCATTCCCGGGTCTCAGGCTCCAGAACAGCCAGACTCCCTCAGCCAGCGGCATGGCCGGTACCATGCTGCTGTGATTGCAGCCCTGCAACACCAGTCCTGCCTTGCCTCTGTGCAAAGCTCTCACTGCATCCTCTTGCCTCCAACCCCTCCTGCCAGACACTGGTGGCTCCTCCTGCCTTCTTGGTTCCAGCAGCCAGCAGCAAGAGTGGGAGTGAAGAACATCAAGCTACCCCTTCCCTGTCCCTCAGGCACAACACTGTGGCCAGCAGGCTGCCGAGGGAGGACACTGTCCCCCTCTACGCCACTCTCGTGAGACCCCACCTGGAGCACGGTATCCAGCTCTGGGGTCCCCAGCACAGGAAAGACATGGACTTCTTAGAGCAGGTCCAGAGGAGGCTGGAACACCTCTCCTATGAAGAAAGGCTGAGAGAGTGTGGCCTGTTCGGCCTGGAGAAGAGAAGGCTCTGGGGAGACCTTGTTGCAGCCTTTCAATAGATAAAGGGGCCTTATCAGGAAGACGGAGAAAGACTGTTTACCAGGGCCTGTAGTGACAGGACAAGGGGTGATGGTTTTAAACTGAAAGAGGGTAGATTTATATGGAACATAAGGAAGAAATTGTTTACAACGAGGGTGGTGAGACACTGGAACAGGTTGCCCAGAGAAGTTGTGGATGCCCCACAGTGATCAAGGAAGTGGAAGTGATCAAGATCAGTTTGGACAGGGCTTTCAGCAACCTGATCTAGTGAGTAGCAGGGGGGGCTGGACTAGATGATCTTTGAAGGTCCCTTCCAACCCAAACCATTCTGAGGTTCTATGATTCTATCAACGCTACCTGTGCTGCAGGCCACCAGGGACCACTGCCCCACAGTGAGGCAGCTCTCTGGGGGCATGGCTGCTATGCATGCCAGGCCATAAGCATTTTGGCAATAGAAGATGGATTCCACCGCTGGCACGTATCTTCCCACCATGAAAATCAGAGTCACTTTGCAGGAACAAGAACCACCCTGTGACAAGAGAGTGTCTCTCTAGTCCCACACACACCATCGTGGGGCACATCACCCATGCGACGGACACTGGTGTGCAGGAACGGTGGTGGGTGGCCCAGCCCTGGATGCTGCTGGGGATACATCATGACGTCTGGAGGCTGCCACCAGGTACCAGCCAGCACAGGGCCACACAAAATTATGGGGATGCTGGCCTTGCCAGTGCTGGACTTCCACACTGCAGATCCATAGGGATGTGCTGCAGCAGAGTATAGCAGTTCACAGACTGTAGAAGGAGGACTCTTTTTCCATGCAGCACAGTGAATTATGGGACTGCATGGAGAGCAGGTATTTTGGGCACGGCGTGAAGTACTAAAAGGCTGTGTGTTACAGGGACTGGTGAGGTAGGTGGCACTGGTGAGACAGAGCTTCTCGTCCAAAGCACCCACACAGGGGCAGCCTGCTACCACAACCGAGCAGAGCGCAGATGGAGCAACAGGGAATTGGCCCTAGACTGTGGTGGCACAGTTAAAGGAAAAGCAGAATGGACCAAAATAAATCCCATCCAAATACAGAGCAGAAACAATCTCGGGAATTTTCCATGTAGATGACATGGGAGCAATTAACACCAGTGAAGGAAGAGTCAGCATGTCACACACTCCGGGGACCTGGAATGAGGACTGCAGATAAAGCCCAGCTTGTGCCAGGTGTCCTTCTATCGCCAAGCGCAAGCAAGGAAAGGAAATGGCTGAGATGGAGACCCAGCACTGGATGTGCTGACAGTGCAAAGACGCAGGGCATGAATGCATCAAAGAAGGGTGCAAGCTGCCACGGGGCTTCTCTCCATTTGTGTCCACCTAAGCACCAGCATCTTGACTGAAAAATGAGCAGAAGTGGGCAGAACTGATCCTCCGTCTCCTCCAAACCCCCAGCTAAGCAAACACATGCAATTCAGGATGTGACACAAGGACAGACACACACATGACTCCCTGCAGTCTTCAGCTGTTTCATGTTGCTAAAGAGCAGAGTAGCATTTCTGGGAAAACACAATTCTTGAAGCTCAGATCTGGATTTTCACTGGTTATATAATCAGGGAATTTTATCCTGCAAATTCAAAACTGCCTACATGGCATTAAAATGTACATAACAAACTCTTATTTGCTACTTAGGCCGATGCATCTCTAAACGAAAAGAAAATAAAAGGTTACCAGGAGCAAAGAACAACCAGAAAGAGATAAATTTTTGCAATACAAAAAGCAGAACAAAATCTACATGATACAAACCCTCCCTCTGTCCAACCACAGGAACAGACAGATGCGAGATGGAAGCTGCCAGCCTCTGTTGGAGACTACCTTCTCGCACTAAAAAACATGTGAAATGAAGTCCAGTGACCTCCCTGACTTTGGCCGATGGCAGGAGCAAGGTAAAGCACTGCACATCTGGAAGCAGGGCTGTGCGGGCTGCAGCTGCAGCATCATCTGCGCCAAATTCAGCTGCAAAGCACACAGTGAGCTACGAACCGGGGCAGCCAGAGTTAACAGACCTTCACCGCTCTGACA